ACGTGAGGCGCCTCTACGCTCACCCCGCACATGCGCCTAAAACACCGCGGCCGGCTAGGTGCCGCGTACTAGGTAGTTAGCACATGTGAGGCTAGTAGGGCATCTGCGTTTATGGTTCTCCTGAAGAATTTGAGTGGTTCCTGAGCGTTCACCCCCCCCCGGCCCTCCGGCCGGTTCACGCCAGGTTGCCTTGGAGTTTTGGCAATCGCACTGCCTGCGCGAGGCAGCCCGTGTCTTGATGTTTAGGGGAGTAGAGTTGATTTTATCGTGTTGCGTGTAGACTAAGTATTGAGGCTGTAGCATGTTCTTGCATATATTTGGCGCAGGCTTCCTGCCTGCCTTGCACCCACAAGCTCGAGACCATTCGCTAACTCCTGCCCCCCAAAATCCTAAAATGGCATTGGATGCCAAAGAGGTGTGACATGCACCACGCTTCAAATCTCTTTTCATCGTTTCCTTGTATCGCACCCATCAGGGACATTCAGGCATTCAAGGATAGGAATTTCCATGGAGGCTGTGAAGGTCAACGGTATTTGCATGGCCTGTCACACGTGTATGAAGTTGAAGCTCAAGTAGACTCAGGTACAGAAGAGTGTGCGACAGGATTCTTATTTCTGAGGTACATGCAACGTCATCTCTCCTTCCATCACTATCTTCAGAGCGAGTAGTCCGGTCCATCAGTGGCATGTTGAAATGAGACAAAGCAGGGGACGCTGCTGACCCTGCGAAGATTTTACAACATCATCTACATTTAATCATGCACCAGTTCGAAGACAGAAGTCGATAGAATAAACCAGCCGTTCTGGCTGAACAGGCTCCTATATGAATCCAGAAAACCCTGTGGTTGATTTTTGTTCGTAAATGCGCCCGCCCTAAACACTGCCCTCAAGTGAACCCGAACCCGTCGTTCTATTCCCTAGGCCTTGGTTGGTACCCTTTTTTCCCTTGTTTGGTTCAAGTTCCCCCCCCCCTATAAAGCAACCAACCAAAAAGGGTACCCTTAAATATGGTTACTGGGCGACTAAGAAGCCGAGAGCCCCAATCCTCTTGCTCTAGGCCCCCAAACTGCCAAGCCTTAAACCTCCAAACCTCATACGCTACACCTCGGGCTTAGGGTTTAGGGTTTAGGGTTTAGGGTTTAGGGTTTAGGGTTTAGGGTTAGGGTGCCCCAACTCCCCAAGCCCCTGGACCTTTCCCTGTGCCCAGCGCTCGGCCATCGCCGCGCTCTTTTCGGGCCAGTTCTGCTCCACCCTGCGCTGTGAGAGCTGTGGCCGCGCCCCCGGCGGAAGCATCGTTTTAGGGTTTAGGATTGTAGTGTTTCGCGTGTAGGGTTTAGGGTTTAGGGTTTCGGGATAGGAATGAAGGGGTTTTGGGATGCAATTGCGCCACAAGGGTACCCATAGCAAGGCCTAAAACCCCAACGGAAGGTTGTTACTTGGTTGGTCGTTGGAGGTTTAGGAGAGTCTAGGACAGGGGTATTGATGTTTTCTTTGCATTCTCGAGAGTTAACGCTTGTGGCTGTTACTTTTGGTCTTTAGGGCTGAGGGGCTTTTCTTCAGGGTTCGATTTTCAGGCTGTGGTCCGAGAATAACCTTGGAATCAAAACTGCGCCGCGTTCTTCTTCTCGCAACATGGGTTTTATGTTTCCGTCAAGGGCCCTAACCACCCCAAACCCTAAGCCCTAGACCCTAAACCCCAGCTCCTAGACCCCAAATCGCACTCAGCGGCCCTAAACAATCCCCCAACCCCTGCTCCCTCAAGGCTACACCAACAAGTCCTTCGAAGCCTTTAGCTTCCTTCCGATACCGATCCCGGAGCATGACTACCGCCCGGGGCTCGAAGTGATGGGGGTTTAGGGTTTAGGGTTTGGAGTTTAGGGTTTGGGGCTTAGGGCTTACGGACCAGGATGTTCGATGTTTGGGATATAGGATGTAGGAATCTGTGGTTTTGGGGTTTTTGGGGCTGGGTGGAAGCTGAGCTGAACGGGTTGGGTGCTTCAACTGGGCGGTTCGAGGGCTTGCCTGAATCTGGTCACCTGCACGGAGCATGCACTGAGGTTCTTGAGGTCGCATGCTAAGTAACTTCCTAAACCCTAAACCCTAAACCCTCAACCCTAAAAAAGAATCGTGGGATCCGGGCCTTGAGCGTGCTTCAAGGCGCTTTGGGTGTCTTGAGCGCGGTGAAGTTTTCGCAATCAAACGCTGCCCTGCTTACTCGGCATGACGGAGGGGGTAACATGGCTTAGGATTCGGATCAGGATTTCGGACTTGGGGCTCGGGGTTCGGGGCTTTGGGTCCAGGATGAAGGGTACGAGGGTACGAAGGTTTAGGGTTTAGGGTTTAGGGTTACTGGTTTAGCGTCTAGGCTGTAGGGTGGGATCCCTCCTCCCCACCCCCGAGGATGGATCACCTGCATGGTCGTCATGGCCACCCGTGTCGCCCTCGGCAAAAGATATTTCAGCAATCCAGGTGGCTCAAAGATTCAGGGTTTAGGGGGTACTTCTTTCCTCGCCTAAGCCTGACACCTTAAACGAGCACCCGAAGTCCTGTCTCCTTAACCTGAAAAACCCTTGTCCCTATATGGCCGGCTGCAGGGCCATATGTCTTTTTGATAAAAGGAGAGAGATCAGACTCCAAGGTCCAGTGTCGCTGTCTCGAAATGCGCGCTCTGTAGCTTGAGCCGATGCAGAGCTTCGAGGGACTAAAGGAGTGACCAGGAGGTTGTTTAGGGGCTACTTGGGGGCTGCTTAGGTGTATAGGGACGATTTAAATATTCAAGGTATATATGGGGGTTATGCATGGGTTATGTAGGGGAAGAAAATGTTAAGGGACTGAACCCTACACGCTATAAATCCTTAACCCCTTGCACTAAAACCCCAAAGCCCTGTCACCCTCAACCTTAGAAGCCCAAAACCCCCCAAACCCTAAAACCCGAAGTCCCCGAGGTTCTTTGTCTCTTGCAAGCACTGGTAAGGTGCGGAGCCCGACCGGCGGATGATCCGGGCAAGGAGCCCGGCGAACGAGTCGGGATGGAATTAGGGTCTACAAGGTTGTTAAGGTTTGAGTTTTGTGGTTTGCCATATAAGTTGGAATGTTCTCCCTTATACTAACAGTCCTGGATAGGGATACGAATCGGGGGTACTATAATCCCGTTTAATGTTAGTATAAAAGGGGGAACATCCCAAGATATAAGGCAGATCTGAACCCCCTAAACCCCCAAACCCTAAACATTTCCCTCATCTGCCCCACGAATCGTTGGGTTCCAATCCTCACATGAGCACCTACCCGGTTCCTCTTGCTTGTTTAGGGTTTAGGGTTTGGGGTTTGGGGTGTAGGGTTTCATCCCACACAGCATCCTTATATGAGGCCTTGTCCGCATTGCTTGGCAAGCCAGTCCGACGCCCGAATATGAACCCCCAAACCCTAAGCCCTAAGCCCTAAGCCCTGGAGCCTTAAATCCGATTCCAGAGGGCAACCCTGTCGCCCAAATATCTCGAGTTTGGCTCCGAAACTGCCTGAAACTCCAACAAACCCTAAGCCCTGAATCGTACAAGTCCTATAGACAGCCCTAAAAACCCTAAACCTTAAACCCTATAACATCTCACAAAAAACACCCCCTACACCTTAAACCCTATAACATCTCACAAAAAACCCCTCACCCTAAACCCTAAAAACCCTATAACATCTCACAAAAAAAAACACGCCCTGAAACCCTGAATCTCTCGACCCGAGATCTGCACCCGGGTGCCGAAGCGTGGGGCCGTGAAAGACCTCCTGGAAGCCAGGGAACTCAGCGGGGACGAGGGCTTGGGGCTCACAAGGGTTTCGAGTTGAGGGTTTGAGGGTTTTAGGGTTTAGGGTTTAGTATAGGTTTAGGGTTTAGGGTTCAGGGTTGAGGGTTTTAGGGCTTATCAAGGGAGAGAACGGGGGACCCCCAGAAGGGACCCTTAATCGTATTCCCCTACATAACCCTTCGGGCAGCTCAAGGAGGTTGTGTAAGGCTATGAAAGCCCAAGTCTGGAGCCCTAAGCCCTAAACCCTAAACCCTAAGCCCTAAACCCTAAACCCGAAACCCTAAACCCTCAACTCAAGGCACGGAAGGAGGGGTGCCTACACGGTCCCTGAGTATGGGCCCTTAACTGCGGAACCCTATACCCTAAAGCCTAAACCCTAAACCCCAAAGCCCTAATGCCCCTGATATACCCTTAGCACCCCATACGGGCCGAGAGAGTTAGGTGTGACCTGCTTGGGCTCCTGGCTGGGTGCCTGCTTCGAGCTTTATAGAGCGTGGAGCTTTAGGTTCCGAGATTGAAGTTCAAGTTAGGGTTTAGGGTTTAGGGTTTAGGGTTTAGGGTTTAGGGTTTAGGGTTTAGGGTTTAGGGTTTAGGGTTTAGGGTTTAGGGTTTAGGGTTTAGGGTTTAGGGTTTAGGGTTTAGGGTTTAGGGTTTAGGGTCCAAGGTTTGGGGTTGAAGGGTTCGGGTCCCAGGAATGCATGGGTGGCCAAACTCTTCGAAACACCCGCCGAACACTGTTTCTCTAGCTAATCTTTGTTCCTGCCAAGACTTAGTGTCCCTTCTTATACGAACGCTCTTTCTAGGAGGCGTTCGATGATCAGAATCGGTAGCAACCTCCCGCTCCCAGCATCTGAGGAAGGGATGGGGTCCGAACGCCGCTGCTTGCTCCAGCTCGCCATTGCTGCCTTGCTGTGTGCTGTCTTCGCATGGCTGATGGCCAACTTCATAGACCCATAACTACTGGCTTATATACAGCTTCCAGCCCCCAGCATGAAGGACATCTAGGGCCCTAAACCCTAAACCCTAAAGTTTAGGGCCTAGGGCCTAAACCCTAAACCCTAAACCCTAAACCCTAAACCCTAAACCCTAAACCCTAAACCCTAAACCCTAAACCCTAAACCCAATAGGGTCTGTAGAACTTGTAGGTCTCTTGGAAGTCTTGGGACGCTGGGAATGCAGAGCCCTCAGCGCCATGCAGCGTGCTGCCATGGACGAGCGCCGCCTGGTGGGTCGCTTGAAAGATCCCAAGTTGCCTCGAGAGGACGCCCGAACCCTAAACCCTAAACCCTAAACCCTATAGACCCTAAACCCTTCAACCTTTTTGACTTATGCAAACAGGGAGAGGCCCACCTCACTCAGGATTTCTGCACCCGTCTTGCTTATTATAGTCTATCGCGAAGCTCTATGGCCGCCTCTGGAAGTAGAACCCCTGTTCCGCCTTTGTAGGGATAGTGTTCCCCTAGAACCTCCATGAAACAACAAGACGTGCACCAAACCCTAAACCCCAAACCCTAAACCCCAAACCCCAAACCCCAAACCCTAAACCCTAAACCCTAAACCCCAAGTAAGCAGTCGCTGGAGAGGAGCTGGATCGCCTCGCGACCTCGCAATTCTCCCCGCCTTCCATGCGAGTCGCCATTGCTGGCATCAGCGCTTTCAGCGCCTCGCAGGCTTTATGGGCTTAGGGGTTTACGGATCTAGGGCTTTTGGGTTTAGGGGTTTAGGGGTTTAGGTTTTTTTTTTTGTGTGTGGGGGGGGGGGGGGGAGGTCTAGGGGTTCAGGGTTTAGGGTTTTGGGTTTAGGGTTTTGGGTTTTGGGTCCCTAAACCCTGAACCCTGAAAAAGAGACAGTGAAGCCCAGGCGTGAACCGTCACCCCTTTGTACTTTGACTACTTTGGGGAGAACCCCAAACCCCAAACCCCAAACCCCAAACCCTAAACCCTAAACCCTAAACCCTAAACCCTAAACCCTAAACCCTAAACCGTGGTCCTAGAGTTCCTACAGCCCTTGAGAAGCCGCCTCAGACCAAGGCCGGCAGAACCGCTGGGAAGACAGCTTGGGCGCTTGGCCCTAAAATTTTGGAGGATTTAGGGTTTAGGGTTTCGGGTTTAGGGTTTATAGGGTTTAGGGTTAGGATCTAGGGGGCAAGGCCACAAGCCGCAACCCAAACTCTAAAGCTGTAACCTCGAACCTCAGAGTTTAGGGATCAGGGCGGAAGACACAAAAACTGGCGCAGTGCCCTTGGTTTTCATGGCTCCTGGGGATATAAATAGAGGCGGGCAACCCCAGGAGTATAGCGGGTACTCAGTAGGAATGTAAGGGCCCTTGTATCTGCATTCTCGCCCCGAAGCCCTCAACTCTAAACCCCACAACCCCTAAACCCTACACCCTAAACCCTAAACCCTTAACCCTTAACCCTTAACCCTTAACCCAAAACCCCATCCCTTCTTAGGATTCTTAGGAGCACTTCCCGGGGGTTCTTGGGGTTCAGGGGAGGGGCTTAGGGTGCAAGAGCCTTGCCGCCGCCGGAAGGGAGGCAGGGCTGGGGTGGGGGGTTCCGGCTCAATCATGCGTTTAGAGACCCTAAACCCTAAACTCTAAACCCGAAACCCTAAGCCTTTAAACCGTTTTAGGGCGGGTTTACTTGCATGTTAAAGGGGGCTTCGGTTTGAGGCCCTTGGGCTGGTCAGCCTACTTGCAGCCCTTCCCCTGCACACGCACCGTAACCCCTGCTGGGCCTGCCCTTAGATGCCCTTGAATATCTTGGGGTCAGCTTTGCTGTAACCCCAAGAGACCGCTGGCTTTCTGTGAAGTCCTTCCCCAAACACCCTTAGGACCCAAACAGCTCCTAAACGCACGACACCCTGAGCCAGACAACCTGTTAACAGGATGTAACACTCCGCTTCTGCGTTTACAATTGCATATATCACTGCTTCTGCACCACCACCACCACCACCACCACGACGACGACGACGACGACTGCTGCTGCTGCTACTACTACTACTACTACTACTACTACTACTACTACTACTACTACTACTAGTACTAGTACTAGTACTAGTACTAGTACTAGTACTAGTACCACCACCGCCACCACCGCCACCACCACCACCACCACCACCGCCACCCCCACCACCACCACCACCACCACCACCACCACCACCACCACCACCACCACCTCCACCCCCACCACCACCACCACCACCACCACCACCACCACCACCACCACCACCACCACCACCACCACCACCACCACCACCACCACCACCACCACCACTATATCTTCGTTGATACGCCACTGTCTGAGCTGCCGCACAAGGCTTCCTTGAGGCCATGCACGCTCAGAAGCTTGGCCTGCAGGAGGATAGGGGTTTGAGGATTCAGGGTTTAGGGTTCAGGGTTGAGCCCTTAAACCAGGGACTTAAGGCTCAGGGGTCGAGCTGCCGGAAGGGCAGTTGACAATGACCGTTCCCAACAGTGGGCATGGTTCATTTAGAGGAATCCCACAGGAAGCCTCACGAACTTTCGAGACCTTTAGGTCAACCCAGAGAAACATGCAGCACAACGCCCGGACCCCATACCCTCAACCCCCGACGATCTAACAAGCTCACAACTCTAAGCCCGTTGGGACCATGAGGCCCCTCTGCATAGTTCAGCCATCTATGGTTGCGTATGCATACACACTCTCTCTCTCTCTATATATATATATATAGATAGAGTATGTGGCCGCCCTTAACTGCAAATCCCCGCATCTGAAATCTTCAGCCCCAAGCCCTGAGCGACCCTCAACCCTAAAATCCTAAAGAACCCCTAAACCCTAAACCCTAAGCCCTAAACCCAAAACCCTAAACCCTCCAACCCCAAGTGCCTGCCTCAGGAAGTTGCAACGCCACCTCTACACGCACAGCGCGGCGATCAGCGCGATGGAAGCGCGGCTTGGGCGCGAAGTTGAGGTGTAGGGTTTAGGGTTTAGGGTTTAGGGTTTAGGGTTTAGGGTTTAAGGCTTAGGGCTTAGGGTTTAGGGTTTAGGGTTTAGGGTTTGGGGTGCCAAATTTCACAGAAATGGATTAATAGTGTAAAAGAATTGTTCAAATGCCTCAATTAATTGCCTCCAAAACTACAAAAAGACATACCCAATAATGTTTTAAACTTGAAAACCCATCTACAATTAGTTTACCTAATTTCAAAACAAACCCATCCAATAATTAAACTACAATACAACTATATAGTACTTCATGCAAAAAAAGAGAGCAATGATTGGAATTCACAATAGCAATGCTAGGAATACTCGTCATAACAGTCATGCTAGAAAGAATAGCAACAGTAGTAATCATGGCCATACGAGTAGTCATGATGAACCTAAAGTAATCACAGCGAAAACGCAAGCCTCAACCCGAACCCTAAACTCCTAAACCCTTAAACCCTAAGCTCAAGCCCTAAACCCTAAACCCTAAACCCTAAACCCTAAACCCTAAACCCTAAACCCTAAACCCTAAAAGAAGTGTTGCAGGAGCGGGCAGTGGGCTCATGCCCTGGCCCTCCTCACCGAGCTGCAAGGAACCATGGCTGCACGACGTAAGGGTTTTTTTGGGGTGGGTTTCGGGTTCAGGGTTTAGTTTGTTTTTGGGGGGGGGTTTAGGGTTCAGGGTTTAGGATTTTTGGGGGTTTGGGTTTCAGGGTCCAGGTTTTTTGGGGTTTGGGGTTTAGGGTGATGGTTTAGGGTTCAGGAAGTACTCTGGGGCTAGGATGCCATAGTAAGGATAGTTGGACTTCCCCTCAGCCCCCCCCTTTTCAAGAAAAAATACAGGTATGCGGGGAAAGCTCTGGTTTACTGTCCGCCCTCATTTTGCTGGAGGCCCGGGGGGAGAGGTTCAATGGGCAAGGCCTTTACGCCCAAAGCCCTATAAGCCCTTTGAAGCGCTTCCCTTGGCTCATACATCCCAGGCTTTTTCTTTATATCAAACCCAACTCTAAACCCTAAACCCTAAACCCTAAACCCTAAGCCCGGGCCATTGGGAATCCCAGGTATTGATCTAAAATCGGCGTGTGGCTTCTGTTCCTAAGTATGGTTTAAGGTCAAGGGTTTGGGGGTAACCTCAGGGTGTTTAGGGCTTAGGGCTTAGGGTTTTGAGGTGTCCCATTAAACCTCACGAGCCTGAACTTTCAAAGACCAGCTGAGAGTGCAAGGGCCCATTATCCACCGGCCCTAATTCCTAAACCCTCAAAAAAATCTTAAACTTGGGATGCAGTCCTCACTAGGGGGGGGGGGGTACTATAATCGCTACTAAGGACTGTTATAGCAGCCACTATAGTATAAGGGGGAACATCCCAAGTTTAAACATGAGTTGTGCAGGGCCTCTACGCCCAAAACATTTTCAACTTGAGTGGCACGGAGGCTTTGTCCCAATCCACTTCTAGTCGTCCAACAGTGTCCTACAGTGAGGGTCGTAGTATTCGGGGACTATTGGGGTACCCCGAGTTTAGGACACCCGCCAATGCTTAAGCTCTCGGAACTATCAGAGCTCGACCGACCCTTTGACCAACCCTGATACCCTAGAAGCCTCAAGAAGCCTCAAGAAGCCTCAAGCCCCAAACCCTGAACTAAGCAGCCCTAAGAAGCCCTGAGAAGCCCTAAGAAGCCCTAAGAAGCCCTAAGCCCCAAACCCTAAACCGTGAATTCTCTAGGCCCTAAAACCCTGTCTGGTTGAAGCTAGAAGAGATGACAGGGCATGTCAACAACTACCCGTCGTAGGATTGTGCCCTGCCAGATATCCTGAGCAAAACCGCACTAGGTTTAGGGTTTAGGGTTTAGGGCTTGCACTCGGCCCAGAGCACCAGTGATTTGGCAGCGCCGACTGCTCACAGAGGTAATGTTTTGTCTGTCCAAAATGGTATTTGTGAATCCTTAGAACCATTTTTTCACATGGGGATGCCCCACAGCAAGACAACCACCCGAAGCCCTATATCCTAAACCCTAAACCCTAAACCCTAAATCCTAAACCCTAAGCCCTAAACCCTAAATCCTCTAAAAGCAGCCAAGGCCTCCAAATTCAGCTGGACACCATGGCCCCCCTGTCGCGATTTAAGGGTAGGATGTTCCCCCTTCTTCTAACAGCCCTTAATAGGGATTATTTTGCTCCTACTATAATCCCGAGTAAAGGATTATTTTACTCCTGTTATAATCCCGATTCAGGACTTTTAGTATATTAGTGGGAACATGCCAAGCTCCAGGGTAGGTTCTTTCAGGGGTGTTGCTATAAGGCTTAGGGATTGCGGGCCTGCAGAGTTTAGGGGTTTTGGGTTCTGAGGCGAAGGAACTCCCAAAAACTCTGGGGTTGCAAGGCGGGTTTCACTTGGGGCTGAGAGGGCTTCTGGACTTTGAAAGGGCTCAGGGTTTAGGGCTCTCGGAGGGAGCCGCAACTAGAATCGAAGCCCCATAGCACGAGCGTAAAGTCCTACTGTTAGGCCCAAACCGAAGATGTTTAGACTCTAAACCTCAAAAGCCCGGGAGCAAGAATGGTTGTGCCGTGGTTTCCGGTTTCGGGTTTAGGTGGACGTAGATACCGGAGTTTGGCTCCGAATTCCTTTTGTATGGTACACAAGGACCTTGTGGGCTCGGGACTTCATCATCTGATGGGTGGGCTTGAAGGCTTCGGGGTCCCCGAAAGGAAGGGGGGTTTAGGGTTCAGGGATACAGGATTTAGGGTTTAGGGTTGAGGGTTTTCGGGCTGAGGGTTTTAGTCAATGTTGGGGGCCTAGCGAATGGAGCTCAGGGGTTTTGCAAGGTTTAGGTTGAGCAGTTATAGTCCTAAACCCTAAGCCCTGCATCTTCTCAACCCCAAATACTAAACCCCTGAAACCCCAAATCCTAAATCTCTTAAACCCTAAAACCCTTAGACCCTAAAACCCCACAACCCTAAACCCCTAAAACCCCGACCCTAAAACCCCAAACCCCTAGAAACCCTAAACCCTAAACCCTAAACCCTGGGAAGTTGGTTCACAGGGTTCTTAAGCCCTACAGCTGAGGCTTTCAACACGGCCATGCGCGCCTGCGCGTCGGGCGAGGCCTGGACACAGGCGCGGGACTTATCATAAGGACCTCTCTCTGTATTTATTGATAAGAAATATATATATATATGTATATATATATACATTAATATTTTTGCATATATATATACATATATATATATATATACATATATATATATACATATATATATACATATATATATATATATATACATATATATATATATATATGCATCTACGTATAGACCTTGAACCTTAAACCCTCAGGCCCAAATATCCCTGAACCCGGAGACCTACCTGGATGCCGCAGACAAGAAGCCCGGATTTAGGGCATATAGGTGTTTAGGATTCTAGGGTTTAGGGATTTGTGGTTAAGGCGTTCAGGGGCGTTGGAATACCCGAGAGCCACGTGCGAGGGGCCCTTATCTTGGAAGAGGCTTTTAGGGTTCACTATAGAAATTGTACAGGGTTTGGGTCGCACTAAGTTTTGACCGAAAGTTTTGAGTTGTTGGAACCTAGGTTCACATTTTGGGGGGAGGGAAGGGTTCAGGGTCTAGGGTCTAGGGTCTAGGGTCTAGGGTCTAGGGTCTAGGGTTTAGGGTTTAGGGTTTAGGGTTTAGGGTTTAGGGTTTAGGGTTTAGGGTTTAGGGTTTAGGGTTTAGGGTTTAGGGTTTAGGGTTTAGGGTTTAGGGAGGAGGGTTTAGGGAGGAGGCGGGGGGTGGGGGGTGGTCGGGGCCTTTTGGGAGACCTTCCAGGCCTTTGAGGTGCGGGACCTTTTGGCCCCTGGGGCCTTTGTGGTCTCCGAACGCACTTTGGAATCCTTTGGAACAATTTACTTGAATTCGGCTGTTTAGACAAACAACTTGAGAAAAACACAATGACGCCACATACATTGTTCTTTTAAATTTGTCTTGAGGGTCAGGGTTTAGGGTTTAGGGTATGAGACCCTCCAACCTTAAACGGTCCTAGGCCCGGTGATGTTCTCACGCATGTTGAGGGTGTGAGCTGAAGGCTGCAATGTTGTTCTAAACCCTAAACCCTAAACCCTAAACCCTAAACCCCCTGAACACTTGCATGCTTGGAGCCCATGCGGGTGGTCCAGGCGCAGGAGTTGTTCCTGGAGCTCCGCGCCGGGCAGCTTGAGCCGACGGCCATTACGCTCCTCCATCGCGTCAGGGGGGGGTTCAGGGTTTAGGGTTTAGGGTTTCGGGTCTAGAACTTAGGGTTTAAGGTTTAGGAGAACGCAGGCATGCGGATGGGCTTTAGGGTGTTTGGGGTTTTGCAAGGTTTTTAGAGATCCCGGTTTGGTGAAAGTTTAGGGTTGAAGTTAAGGCGATGCAGTTTCAAGGGGCAGATCTCAAGGGGTCGGGTTTCTGTTGCAGTGGGGGGTGAACCCTAACCGCCCCGACATTCAACTAGGGTTCTTGTCTGACATTGCACAGTTTGGGCCTTGTTTCCTGTAATTCGCCCCTTGGGTTCTGCAGGGCTTTTGAAGGTTTGCTCGGCTTTTGGGTCTAAGGCTAGGGGGGTTACAGCACTTGAAAGTTCACGTGCCTAAACCCTAGACCCTAAACCCTAAACCCTAAACCCTAACTCTGAACCCGAGCATCGAGGTTCAGCGCAGTAGCGGCAGCCTTGCGCGGGACCTGGCGCCGGGCGGTGGCGCTGGTCGCAGAGGCTGGCGCGCCCACTCGCGAAGTCGGACAGATATGATAGCTACTAATTGCTTAACAACCCCGGAAAAATAAGAAATATTCTATTATAACTACTAATTGCTTAAGAACCCCGGAAAGATAAGAAATATTCTTCCTTGTCAGGGATGCTTTTTCTTTTGGGGGCTCTTAAGCAGATAGTAGATAAGGGTTTATATTGCTGTTCTTGGTGAGTGTATATGTGGTTCCTTTTTTATCTTGGTGAGTGTATATATTGGGTGTCCTTTTGGGGATATAAGAAATATAGACCCTTAGATGGATTGAGTTTTCGCGCAACAAAGACCTTGTTTCCAGGTTTGCACCTAATGACTCTCCATCTCGAATGGTGGGAAATCCACAAGACGCGCCTACTACATGTCGACAAACTGCCCTGAAGCAAGTTGGTCCTCTTGACCTTAAATGGAACAAGCCTAACACTCGATCCAAGAAACAGGGTTGGGGAGGGGATGATGCTGAATTAAACCTTGTTTTCACTTTCTGGGCAAAGTGGACTACTACGCAAAATCCTCATTCCGAACCGATTCAGTGTTGGTTGCAAGCATTTTTACTTTTTCTGCGTATTGGAGGACACAAAGCTAATTTTGTTCAACAAGCAGATTTTATTGGACGGTTCTTTGTACAAATTTCGCACGCTATCCATGAAGCTACTCAAGCTTTGTTGGATGCACAGTGAACAACTCCAAGAATTTCTTGACTTTCAGCCTCAGCCTTACAAATGGATTGACAATTTTCCTTTTGATCTCACATTTCCCAGCAACCTCTTCTTCGTTCCTGCTTGGGATTTGCAATGCACTTGCAGAAATCTGTCTCTTCTGCAAGCGCAAACTGTGATTGAACAAGGTGTCAATTGTCAAACCATTCGTATTCCGCCGCAGGCCTTTCTTGACGCAGTTTCTGGCAAAAGCTGTCAACTTCAAGACAAAGATCTTTCAGCTGAATGGCCCACCTTTCGCATAAATGGCAAGTTCGCGCCGCCCACCTGGCTTACACAGGTATCGGATTGCAAGCTTTTGCCTATTCAGTTTCAAGAAATTACTTGCATTTCGCATTTGCCTCTGTCAACTTGGTGCAACATGGATCCTGTTGACATCAGGTGCAAATTGCGTGGCATCACCAAAAGGTTCATTGCGGCCAAGAGGAGATATGAATGCTTCAAAAAACATTTTTCTCAGGGTTATGGAGCTTGCTAATTTAAACGATGCACGCCTTCCACACTTCCTTTCCTCTGGGTGAAAAATGGATTTCCGTTGTCATTTCTGTAAGCGACAAATTTTCTTCTGCAAAGCTCCTGACATGCTTCAATTTTTCTGCTTCAAAGCTGTGCTGCTTGATGCAGACACGGCCGCTGATTGGGTTCAACGCTTTGATGACACCATTGACTCTATCTCCTCTATCCTTGCGAAGCTTAACCATTGATCGGTAAATTCACGTCCTCGACCACTGATGTTGTGTGCTTGCTAACCGTGCTTAGTACAAATCTAAGCTGTCTCACCTTGATATGATTCACGACCTCGAGTCCGCAGTATAAGAAATATAGACCCTACTTCATGCTGCCCCATAGACTTCCGGTTATTGGAAAGGATGCTTAGCGCTTGCAAGGTGTGAATCGCGTTTTTTGGGTTTCGACCTTCAGTTGCGGATCCTGTTTTGTGCATTACCTACCTCTAAGTTATAATGTCTTCTCACACTCTACAATGACAACACAAATTGCCCACCCTAAACCCTAAACCCTAAACCCTAAACCCTAAACCCTAAACCCTAAACCCTAAACCCTAAACCCTAAACCCTAAACCCTAAACCCTAAACCCTAAACCCTAAACCCTAAACCCTATCTTCAGCTTCCACTCTGAAGAGGCCCGGCATAGCAGCGTTCGATTGGACGCGGCCTTCTTCTCCACCCTCATCGCGGGACTGGACGGCGAGGCCGTGGGGAGTTAGGAGTGGTGCTTTGGTTTAGGGTTTAGGGTTTAGGGTTTAGGGTTTAGGGTTTCGGGTTTCGGGTTTCGGGTTTCGGGTTTAGGTATGAAGGGTTTTATACGGCTTAGTGGCCTGGAGGTTATTCAGAATGTTCGAGGGACCTTCCTGGCTTAGGGGCTGGGTAGTGAACCTTTAGCCTGTTTGGTTATATAGAAGCCTACTATATGTCAAAGGTTCACCTGTTTTGGGGCTGGGCTATTCAGCCCCTAAGCAGGGCTTGTTCTTGTCAGATAAGGTTTGTGAAGTTGACGCCCCAAACCCACACCCTTCAGCTCAACACCCGAAGCCCATGAGTGGCGCATGGTGCCTTCACGTCGGTTGTAGTCGTACCCGGACATACACATCAGTACCGAACGTCCGCAATCCAAACGTAGGTAGGTACCCTGAGCACCTCAGAAGCCCGAGAAGACCCGCTCCACAAACCCGAAACCCTGAAAGCCCGAAGACCTAAGCCCGTCAAAGCCCTAAAACCCTACACCCGCGAGCCCCTCGAGAGCCAGGGGGGCTTATGTAGGCATTCGGGTTTAGGGTTTAGGGTTTAGGGTTTAGGGTTTAGGGCTTAGCCCTGAAGACCTTGGGTTAGGGAAGCCCAGAGCTGACGGAAGGCGTGGGAGGTGGCGCTTGCCTTGCTGGCAGACATGCTCAGGAGAGGTTTGGGGTTTAGGGTTTAGGGTTTAGGGTTTAGGGTTCAGGGTTCAGGGTTCAGGGTTTAGGGTTTAGGGTTTAGGGTTCAGGGTTCAGGGTTCAGGGTTCAGGGTTCAGGGTTTAGAGCTCCATCTGGGAGGGGTGGAGCGTTGTGGAGCTCGAAGCCGAAAGCCCTGAAGCCCTTAAATCCGGAACCCCCTAAACCGAAAACCCTAAACCCTAAACCTTATAAGCCCTGTAAGCCCTATAAACCCCAAACCCTCAGGGACATGCGATTCCAGATCAAAAAAGAACACCTAACCCCTAAACCCTAAACCCAACCTGAAACTCGAGCTACATAGGCCCTCTAGCATGATTACAAGGGACTCTGAGGAGTGTGTTGACAGAGCGAGACTCTGAATTAAGCCCTATACCACCACAAGCCCTCAAACCCTGAAAGTCTGGAAGTAGGCGGACCTTTGAGTGTACTTTCAGACATTCCTCACAGTCCCGTGTCCTTCATGCGAAGCCGTAAACCCTAAACCCTAGCCCTAAACCCTAAACCCCAGATATGACTACCGAAGCTTGAGGGTGCCCCTTAGGGTCTAGGGTTTAGGGTTTAGGGTTTAGGGTTTAGGGTTTAGGGTTTAGGGTTTAGGGTTTAGGGTTTAGGGACTCGAAGCATAAAGCGGCGGGCCGCCCGAGAGGAGGGACATTCCTGCCGACAGCTGGGTGTTCTCCTCGTGCATGAGCACGTGCGAGAAGGCAGGACCTACAGTCTCACGTTTTGCTTGACGTGCTGGCTTGCTGATTATGCGTATGTGCGCATGTTTAGGTACCAATACAGAGAGCGCGAGCGAGGGAGGGAGAGAGAGAGAGAGTGAGAGGGAGCCCGACACATACTCCCCCACTCCCAGCCAGCAAGCTCAGCGTTGCAGGCATCCAGCTGGATCGCAGCCCTTGGAATTTTCAGCAGCCAGCCTCGTGAAAGCCCCCCCCCCCGTAAGATGGACACTTAAAGGCTATGCTGCACGTGCGTGCCTTGTAAACAAATACTTTACAAAGCAAACACCCGCAGAATAGACGCAACGCACCCGCAGAATAGACGAATTGCACCCTGTCAGCGCACTGTGTCCTGGGTGGGGGCGCAGAGGGTGCGGAGGGCGCGGAGGGCGCGGAGGGGGCGGAGGGCGCGGAGGGGGCGGAGGGCGCGGAGGGGGCGGAGGGCGCGGAGGGGGCGGAGGGGGGGGGAGGGCGGCGGGAGGGCGCGGAGAGCGCGGAGGGCGTGGAGGGCGCGGGAGGGCGCGAGGGCGCGGGAGGGCGCGGAGGGCGCGGTGCGCGCGGAGGGCGCGGCGGAGGGCGCGGCGGAGGGCGCGGAGCGTGCAGAGGGCGGAAGGGCGCGGAGGGTGTGGAGCTAGGGCGCGGGCTTGCAAACGCGGAGGGCGCGGAGGGGCATCCACGTGTCCCCATATCCCCTGCCCATCAACCGAATGTCACTCTCCCCTTCCGCACCGAACCCGTCCGTCAACCTCCATGCATGGTCCACGCCTCCCCACACCACGCCCCTCTCCAGCAAAATATTCCGAACCCCCTCCCTTGACCGTGTCCTCTCCGCGGTCCGCGGCCTCCCGTCAAAATTCATTCGGTCCGACCCTCCAAGAAGCGATCCGATAGAACGCCTTCCGCATTGAAGCGCCAAACGAGAACCCAATTTCAGAATTGGTTTTCGGGAAAAATCCAAGAAAACAAAAAGCACGCGCAGAATAGACGTTAAGCGTCCAAGGCACCCCCCCCCCCTTCCCCCCCCCCTCCCCCCCTGTGCATTTTTTTTTTTTTTTTTTTGGGGGGGGGGGGGGGGGCTGGGGAGGATTGTGTTTGGGTTTCGGTTTGAGACCTTGCGCCCGAACTTTCAGAAGACAATTCAACCCAGCAATCCTGCTTCGGGGTTTAGGGTTCAGGACCCTAAACCCTAAACCCTTAAACCCAGGGCTGTTTCGGGTCCAGAGTGGGAGCCTTGGTTGCTCCATCCCTGCTTCGCAAGGGCCCCAAAAGAGGGAAAACCTCAACCCCGAAGCCGCAGACAGCATATGGGATTTAGGGTTTAGGGTTTAAGGTTTAGGGTTTAGGGTTTAGGGTTTTGGGTTGAGCTTATATAGCCCAAGTTCTAAGCCCCGTTACAGAGCTTTGGTTGTTTTGGTCTGCGTTGGTTTACGCTTCCTTCCTGTGCTACGTAGACCCTGCACCTCCCCAAACCCGAAAATAGAACCCAAAACATATCGTCTCAAAATCTAAGCGTCCGGCACTCCGGAAAACTCTATACGACTTAATTGGGTTTAGGGCTTAGGGTTTTGGGCTTAGTCTTCGGATGATGGGGTTTAGGGTTCAGGATTGAGGCTAGGACCCAGAGTAGGCCCTTATTGCCTTTTTTGGGACTTGGGTTCCCCTTATAAGCCCCTTAAAACCAAAAAAGGGTTAGTAGGGTTTAGGGTTTAGGGTTTTCCCAGGCTACTCTTGGGTCTAGTAGGGTTTAGGGGTTCAGGGATGGTGGAAAGGTCTGTAACCTATGGGCCCCTGTAACCTCACAAACACATTGAGCTCCCCAAACCCCTAAAACACCTATTAGCATCTACCTGTGGTGTTTGGGGGCGGGGGGGGGAACTTGGGATGCTCAGGGTTTATGGGGGTCCGGGAGAACGCCACGGGCTTCAGGGCACTAAGCTTTCTTTCTCACCGCCCGCTCTGCTACAGCTCCCCTTCCCCCGAATCTCTATGGGGTTTAGGCTTTAGGACCCCTAAGACCCCAATCCCTAAACCCTCAACCTTTCGGGGCCCACGCCCAGGCGACATGCAAACTCAGCAGTGGCAGCCAGAACTTTGGATCAACTTCAGTTTTTTTTTTTAATCCACCCGGCAAATTAGGGTTCAGGGCTTAGGTTAGGGTTTAGGGTTGAGGGTTGAGGGTTGAGGGTTGAGGGTTTCGGACTGTGTTGACAATATGCCGTTCATAGCAGCACATCTAGGCCTTCAAGCTTTTCCTTAAGGAAGAGCCTTTGCAGGACATACCTCGTCAGCCATCATCGGCACCCTCACTATCTTCCTAAGGTATTGTGCTCTTTACACCCTGAGACCATGAGGTCCTCATGAGGTCCTCAGCCCTTAGCCCTGAGGATGCCAGTGCTTTCAGCAGCGCGGTCAGCGCCTGTGGCAAGGCGCCCTAAGGGCTGGAAGTTTAGGTGTTCAGCGGGATTACACCCCCTCCACCCCTAGCCACAGCTTCCCTGAAGGCTTGAATGAAGTAGCGCCCCCCCCCCCCCCCCCCCCCTAGAAAGGCACTACGTAGGAGCCTCTAGGTACTTGCTACTTTCTTGCGGGTAGATCTCGACCTCTGAGCATGAGCCCTTCATTTCAGAAACCCTATATGCCCAAAACCCCACCGTGCAGACTATGAGCATGTCCTCCATAGGTGTTACCCTTCATACCCACCCCCGAAAACCGTAGATTCCGTTCAACCCTGAACCCTGAACCCTGAACCCTAAACCCTAAACCCCAACCCCTAAACCCCAAGCCCTAAACCCTAAACCCCCAAAACCCCAAACCCTAAAGAATGCGAATCCCAAGCCAGGCGGAGCTGTTCTAAACCCTAAACCCTAAACCCTAAACCCTAAACCCTAAACCCTAAACCCTAAACCCCAAACCCTAAACCCTAAACCCTAAACCCTAAACTAAAACCATAAAGAATGCGAATCCCAAGCCAGGCGGAGCTCTGGGAGGGTGCCCTCACTCTTTTCGAGTCGGCGGGGCCCAAGCGACGATCCTTGGCTGCCGCTCAGGGCTTTTGTGGTTTGGGGTGGCTTTACGGTTTAAGGAGTTTTTGGAGTGTTTTGGAGTTTTTGGAGATTTTGGAGTTTTGGAGTTTTGGGAGTTTTTAGTTTTTGGAGTTTTGGAGTTTGGCGGTTGAGTGCTCGGCGGTTTCTAGCTTGCCTGCCCCCAAGTTACATTAATAAGTCTCCTACTTGCTTGTCTCGCTGTTGTGTCTTGAGGTTAGAAGTGAGTTGTCTCTTTCTTGGAGAGAAACGTGTTGGGGCCCTACGGCCCTAAACCCTAAACCCTAAACCCTAAACCCTAAACCCTAAACCCTAAACCCTCCTAAACCCTAACCCTAAACCCTAAACCCTAAACCCTAAACCCTAACCCCGAGAGAGAGAAAGGAGACACCATCACCTTCAGCGCTGCCATCTCCGCCATGGAGAAGAGCATCTTGGCTTCGCCAAATGTCAGGAGTGGAGGAGACCCTAAACCCTAAACCCTAAACCCTAAACCCTAAACCCCCAAAATTATGCTCCTGGTTCGTACCTAGAAGTTCAATTCCCCCCCCACTCCCTCGTAAGCCTTAGGCTCTGAGGCGCTGAATGTCAGAGAGGCGCTCACATGCGAAGCCCAATTTTTTGGGGGTCCTAAACCCTAAACCCTAAACCCTAAACCCTAAACCCTTTTTTTGTAATCACCCAAGAATCGTTTAGCCGAAACAACTCCCTTTGAAACTCACGGGCACCACTTTTTTCCCCCCACTTATTTGCCTTAGACGGCTTCAAGGGATGAGCGTCTCTGGGCTGCCGAGTAGTTAAAGCCTTAGACCCCTAAATTGCCTGAATCCCGGCAGGGCTTACAGGCTTGGATTCACGCACACTGCAGGCACAACTTGATACTTGATAAGCCCATTCTACGCACGACGATACCGGAGGAAGGCACGACGGTGCCGGGGCAAGGATACCGCGTAGTTGAAGGACGCTCAGCCTGATGCCCAAAACCCTAAACCCTCAACCCTAAATCCTACAGTTTGGAATCCTGAAGCCCAAAGCCCTAAGCCCTCAACCCTAAACCCTACAGTTTTGGCATCCTGAACCCTAATTCAACCCTAAACCCTAAACCCTAAACCCTAAACCCTAAACCCTAAACCCTAAACCCTAAACCCTAAACCCTAAACCCCCAAGCTCAACCTGTGCCCGAGGCCGTCGCTGGTCGGAAGCCCTGGCCCTCCTGTCAGCGATGAGGCAGCAGAAGATGACCCCGAACGTGCGCCAGGGGCTGCACCTCATCGCCCCCCCAACAGGGTTTAGGGTTTAGGGTTTAGGGTTTAGGGTTCAGGGTTTAGGGTTTAGGGTTTAGGGTTTAGGGTTTAGGGCCCTCCAGGGTCTGCACCTCATCCCCTCCAACAAGGTAGCGCAGGACCCCCCCCCGCCAGACACCGAAACAGGGGAAAGGGTGTAGGGTTTAGGGTTTAGGGTTTGGGGTTTAGGGTTTAGGGTTTAGGGTTTAGGGTTTAGGGTTCATCCAACACGCCGATTACCCTGTGACTTACCCTTAAGACTGGGCCCCCAGAGGCCGCGAAATGTGAAAGCACGTCACTTCTTAAGTGCTAGAATTTGCTGGAAGGTGTCCACTCGAAAGCACGAAGGTAGCAGAAAGCGTCCCGAAATGAGGTTCAGGGTGCACGGTTTGGTTCTGCGGGCTGGGGGTTGATCCAAGTCATGAAAGTTCAAGTTTCGAAGTTTGCAGGGTTCAGGGCTCGGGGCTGCGAATAAACCCTAAACCCTGAACCCTAAACCCTCAACCCTCAACCCTGAACCCTCAACCCTAAACCCTCAACCCTCAACCCTCAACCCTAAACCCCAAACCCTAAACCCTAAACCCTAAACAGCAACCGGTTTAGAGCTCTTCCACTTCAGGATCTCCTATTGCGCGGCCATCAGCGCCTGCGAGAAAGGGGCGGAGTGGCAACGCGCAGAGGCCCTGTTGGCAGAGATGCGGCGTCCGTGCCGCAACGTTAGGGTTTAGGGTTTAGGGTTTTAGGGTTTTAGGGTTTTAGGGTTTTAGGGTTTTAGGGTTTTAGGGTTTTAGGGTTTTAGGGTTTTAGGGTTTTAGGGTTTTAGGGTTTTAGGGTTTTAGGGTTTTAGGGTTTTAGGGTTTAGGGTTTAGGGTTTAGGGGAGCGAAGCGTGAGCTTGTGGAATTGGATGGCATCCGGCAAAAGTAGTTCCGAGGATTGGCGCAAATTGCACCTTTAAGAGACACGTTGTCCGGTCGTCCGCTCATCTTGCATCGGAAGTAATTAGACCCGTTGGTTGTTTTGTACTCTCGGCCTCATTCTCTCCCTCATTTCGCTCCCTCATTTCTCTCCTTCATTTCTCTCCCTCATCTCTCTCCCTCATCTCTCTCCCTCATCTCTCTCCCTCATCTCTCTCCCGCATCTCTCTCTCTATCTCCCTCTCCCTCTCCCTCTCTCTCATCTCTCTCTCTCTCTCTCATCTCTCTCCCTCATCTCTCTCCATCTCTCTCTCGCTCTCTCTCTCTTGCTCTGTCTCTCTCTCTCTCTCTCTCGCTCTCGCTCTCGCTCTCGCTCTCGCTCTCGCTCTCTCTCTCTCTCTCGCTCGCTCTCTCTCGGCGCTCTGTCTTTATTTGTCACTCGGCAGACGCACAGCTTGTCTCCGGATGTACAAAGTGCCACAGCAAATGAACACACCGAGATTGAGCCGAACGGCTTATATCCTCAAGCAGTGCATATGTGGTGGTGAATCTACATTGCGGTCTGCTAGAGCCATACTTACCATTCCAAGAGATCCCAAAATTCTGAGCTGACCCGGTTTAGGGTTGAGGTTTCCTCCTCTGGGCCGTACTCGCGAGCTCTTTAGGGTTTAGGGTTCAGGGTTCAGGGTTTAGGGTTTAGGGTTTAGGGTTTAGGGTTTAGGGTTTAGGGCTCAGGGCTCAGGGCTCAGGGTTCAGGGTTTCGTGTTTCGGGTTTCGGGTTTCGGGGTCTCAGGTTGCAGGGCCTAGAGCTCAACTCCATTGGCCTCTGTGCGGTGATCAGCGCCTGCGACAAGGGAGGTGCCCTAGGGGTCGCCATGTGGGGGCTTCGAGGTTCAGGTTTCTTGCTTTAGGGTTTTTTCTGGTTTAGGGTTTTAGGGTGTTAAGCTTTAAGGGGCTAACGGTGGAAGAGCTTTCGGGTTTAAAGGTTTAGGGTTTTAAGGTTTAGGGTTTTAAGGTTTAGGGAATTTGTATGCCTTGGATCCCAACCTTCAGTGTCAGAGCATTCCGACTCCTTCAAATGGCAAGCCTTTGGCTGAAAGTTTTCGGTTCAGGGGGTTTAGGGTTTAGGGGGTTTAGGGTTCATGGTTGTGAGATTTGCTTGTTTAGCATTCTCCCCTTTTGTCTTCGCTCGGTGGCTTCAGGAGGGGTTTTGTGTTTAGGGTTTCTACATTGTTTCTGTTTTTGTGGGGCCGGGGGACTTGAGATCCCTTATCAACCCTATGAAGCCTAGAATTGCATCCTTCGTTTTGCGGCTGCGTAATCGAGTAAACCCTAAACCCGAAGCCCTAAACCCCAACACTTAGCTCTACACTCTGAACTGGGGTTAAGGTTTAGGGTGCAGGGTCTAGGGTTTAGGGTTTAGGAACCCTGCGCGAAAATCCATAGGGTTACCTTACTAATTACCTAAAACCCTACGTAGAACTCCCCCCAATGTAGGGCTGCAAGTCCCCGAGCAAGGGTTCATTCAAGGTAGCCCTATATCTAGCCCTATATCTATGAACCTGGGCATTTCCCAAAATAGGGATACCTTTTTATACCCCAAACAGAATAGAATCCCTTTAAAGGGACCACACAAAAGGGCACCCCTATTTTCGGAAACCCCCGCCTTCTAGTTCAGGCTTATTTAGGGCTTTAGGACGTTTTGTAGCAGCCCAGGCGAGTGGCAGCGAGCCCCTTGCCACCACGACCTGGGGGGGCTGTTGATGTGGGGGTGTACGATTTTCGGGGGGGGGGGGGTACCTTGTTGGGGTCCTTATGATCAGAGGATCCTACAGTTTGGGTTTCTATATTGGGGTCCCCTATTTTCATAAACCCCCCCAATTTGGTTGGGGGTCATGGGTGTTTTGTGTGTCAAGTTTAAGGGACGGCGATGTGGCTTGGTGCGCGAACCATTCAGGCAAATAGCGGAGTAGCGAGGCCCGTGAGCATGCACCACACGCCAGCGACTCGTGATTTGCATTTGCCTTCTACTCTTCTGGCAGCTGAAAGTCCCTGTCTCGTCTCTGCGCATCGAAGCCCAGCCCTAAACCAGAAAAGCCCAAACCCTTAAGCCTAATTCTTAAGCCCTATACTACACCACACTGCAGTCCTGGACATCCCACACAGACCCTTAAAAACCCCTTCGCTGGACCCACATCCCTCATCTTCTCGCACGGAACTCCCAAACCCTAAACCCGAAACCCTAAACTCTAAACACAGACCTCTGAGGCACTGCACTTCTTAGAGGAGCTGTCGCTTGGCTTCCCTGCTTGGCGTTTCGAGCTTGTAGCGTTTCCTTAAACCACAACTGGGCTGTGCATTGGGATAGTCTTGAATTTCCCTTCTTTCCTTATAAGGGAACCTATTCACAAACAAATAACTTTCAAAAGGTTTTAAGCACAACTCAGACAAATGGTGTCCATACATCTGGGGGGAGGGGGGGGGGTGCTTCCAGGATGTAGGGGAACGGATAACAGAGGGTACTGTTTTTGGGGTTCCTTTGAGAAGTGTATTGTTTGGCACCAGGGGGAGGGGGAGGGGGGCGGAGTTCCTTCATTTGATTTGTCTGCAACCCTAAGCCCAAAACCCCAAACCCAAATATATGTAGTCTAATCAAACCCTGAACCCTTTAAACCCTGTATACCCTGTAAACCCTGTAAATCCTGTAAGCCCTTAAACCCTGTAAGCCCCAAACCCTGAACCCTGAAAGCCCTAAAAGCTCCCTTCTACAAGCAGTCCTCAGTAGGGATTATCGTACCCCCCATTATCATCCCCATCAAGGACCGTTAGTATAGGGGGAACATCCGAACTCTAAACCCCCTAAACCCTAAACCCTAAACCCTAAACCCTAAACCCTATCACACCTGAAAGCCCTAAAACCCTCAAAGCACCAGGTCTCTGAGCAGCCTCGAGCTGGGTGGCATCGCGTTGAATGCGGCCCTCAGCGCGTGCGAGCGTGCCGAGGACCATAATGCCAAATGATGGTTTATAGGGCTTATGGTGTGGGGCTTAGCGATAACGCCACCGTTTTTTTTGTTTTTTTTGTTGGGGGGGGGGGGGGTTTAGGGTTGAGGGGCCCCCTAGCACGTGGCCCTTGCTTGGGGGGATTAGTTTGGGCTGGAACTTGGCCTAGGGTTCATAAGGTTTAGGGTTCTTAAGCCCTCAACCGCCAGCAAGGCCTGGCAAAGCTCCCTCAGCGTCTTCGCACCGCGGCGGGGAGTGTGGGGATAAGGCTTATTCGGGTTGAGGGGCCGCTCGTGATAAAATATACACCAAAAGGGAAATATGTTGTGCCATCCTGTTCCTAGGGTTCTTGATTGATGTTAAGGTTGCTTAGGTTGAGGGATTAGGCTGGGCTTCAGCTTCGTTTGTCTGCAGGCTTGTGCGGGAGTCCAACCCTGAGGCCCGAAACCCCTACTTGAAGGTTCATGGTACTTATTCAACCAATCATAACTGTACCTTTAAACCCGAATTATGACCACGTTAGGGACCTTAAGGGGCTTATAAGTGGGTTATGAGTACAGTTATAATTGGGTAAACAAGTACCCTGAACCTCCAAGTAGACGCAGGTGAGATGCCCTCCCAGTCTTGTCTGCCCTGGCCCACCGCACACAACACCCTTCTGTCACATTTTTTGGGGGGTGGTATATGCCGATGTACCCGCACACGCTGACTCCTCTAAGTGGAACCCCTAAACCCTAAACCCTAAACCCTAAACCCTAAACCCTAAACCTAAACCCTACGGCTGAGGACCGGAAGCGGCACGTTGGCTTGGAGATCAACGGCATGAACTTAGGCTGGGACTGTCTTTCTGAAATGGAGAAGCCTGAAAGCGAAGGGTTTAGGGCTTAGGGCTTAGGGTTTAGGGTTTAGGGTTTAGGGTTTAGGGTTTAGGGTTTAGGGTTTAGGGTTTACATAGTATCCCCGGTATGGCTTTTTAAGTCTGCCCAAAAGGGGGGGTCCTACAATAGGGGTACCCCTTTTTCACCCCCAGGGATAGTCGAATCCCTCTTTAAATTAAAACCGGACTCCTGGGAGTGTGCCCCCCTAGTATCGGAAATCTCCAAATCAGCCATTCTAACTAGCTAGAACCCCCCCCCCCCATATATCAGCCGATACTTCTGCTTGGGATGCGAGTTCCTGCAGGGACCGCGACTTTCCACGAAGCTTTTTTTGGGGTTGAGGTTGAAAGTGCCCCCGGCCCCAAAACCCCTATCCCGAAATCCTATACATTAAACCCCAATCCCCAAACCCTGAACCCTCAAACCTCAACCCTAGACGCCCCTACACCCTAAACCGTAAACCCCCAAACCCGAAACCCTAAACCCTAAACCCCCAAACCCCCAAACCTGCAGGTGCCGTGCTCAGCACCCTGGACGCCGCTTCGCTGTGGCCACGGTCCCTGGAGGCTGCAACAACCTTTCCCAAGTCGAACTCCCAAGGCTGAGATAAGCCTCAAGGGTTTGGGTTAGGGTTTTGGGGTTCAAAACCTAAAACTTTCGGGCTTAGGGACCCTGAAGGTTGAGATAACCCTCAGGGGTTTGGGTTGGGGTTTTATGGTTTTCGGGCCTAGGGACCCTGAAGTTTTGGGGTTCGAACACGGCACGCGCAGGCTTTTGCACTGGCAGATCGCTGGGCGGACGGCGAAGAGCCAGGCGGCGTCTCAGAAGCCATGTTAATCGGGGAGGTGGAGCCCTAATAACAGTCCCCCTACATTCCTAATCTTAACACGATTATACCTTAGTCAGTTTCTGCTGTAATATTTGATTGTTATAGGATGGAGGGCTGTATCTCAACTACTCAACCTTCTTCTTGGTCTCTGTACGATCACTTCGAAGGCTGTTCGAAGGCTGATGATGTTTTCGTATGTCTTGCTCCGCCTCCGAACGCACACACCATTAAGAGTCGAGGTATGCCGAAACTCTCTACTCGTTCCAAGAAGTGCCTTAGGAGACCTTCTTGGGTGATTTAGGGTACCTCAGAAGGTACTTGGGGTGGGGGGGGCGTCTGGAAACCTTTGACCACGAACCTCGATCGAACCCGGAGCTTACTGTAGGTTTAGGGGGAATGTGTAGGGCCAGAACCCTATCCTAAAGCCTAAACCGCCTCTGCTCCCCCACCCCCCCCCCCCCCCAAAAGCCTCCCAGTCGCTTCTTGACTTAACACACACTGCAGGAGAGCTGGAGCAGCTTCTTCCCCAAGTGGGCGCGGAGGCGCGGTTCTCGTGATTTTTTTTTGGTGTGCACACGTGGCCGCGGGGGGTGGGGGAGGGTGGGGGGCAGGGTTGGGAGATGATTTTGGGGGCAGACATACAGGGTTTAGGGTATGGGCGTAAAGGGTTGGTTCAGGGTTCGTGTCGTTCGAATCTTGTTTTTATGGATGCTGATCGAGTCGTTGATCGTTTCGGATTCTCGTGATGGGAGTCTGGGTCGGCGCGCCAGGGCGACTCTTGCTCGAGTGTGCGTATTGAAGCGTGCCCCTCGTCGTGATGACGTCGGCACTGCTGCTCAAAGAGCCCATGGCTCGTGCAGATGTCCAAACAGTGGTCCTGCAGAGTACCACGCGGATGCCCTCTACCCCCTGATTTGAGGGTTTGGGGCTGAGCGTCCTAAACCCTAAACTTTGTGAACCTTGAACTAAACCCTAAACCCCAAACGAAACCCTAAATGCTACAAAACCCTAAGCCCGAGCAAAATCCCAAGCCACCAGGTGTTGGCCCGTGGCCCTGGTTTGGTCGCTTTGGACAAGCCTGCAGGCGGTGAAGGGTTGAAACCGGGTGAAGGGCCGAATGTGGTTTCGGGTTTAGGGTTTAGGGTTGGGTTCACTGGGTCCACATGGGTGGAGGGTGTGGGGATTAGGGTTTCGGGTCGTTTAGGGTTCTAAGGTTTCAGCAGGCTTTAGGCATCCTCTTGTTCTTTTTTGCAAGTGGAGAGTCCGATGGGTTCCACGTTCAGGGTTATCGGGACAGGTTTAACTGAGAATGGTTTGGGGTTTACAGTGTAGGGTTCAATTCATAATAGGGACCTGTTAGCCGTTTAAAGATACTTCGGACAAAAACGTAGGGGGCACGTCAGGAGTCTATTGAGAGCGTTGAGAACCCCCTGAAGGTGGGAGGAAGAATGGGCTGTTTCATCTCCGAACCTTCTTCCACCCCTGAAAGTTTAGGGTTTGTGATTTGGTGGGGTTTAGAGGGAGTAGGGAGTAGGGAGGGTTCAGGGAGCAGAGTTCAGCGTTTACAGGCGCTGGGTTGTTGCGCGCGCAACTACTTCCTTGGCACGGAATGCCCCCCCCCCCCCCCGCCCCGTGCGAAGCTGCCAGGACCTCAAGAAGCCTAAGCCCCTTAACCTGGAGACTAAAGACCTTAGACGCTAAACCACCCACCCTAGACCCCAACGAATCCTGAGCCCGAAGGCCTAAACCCTATGAGCCGTAAGAGTAAGGCCCCCCATGGCCCCCCTAAACCCCAAACCCGATAAACGCTAAAACCTATAAGCCCCAAGCCCGAAGACCCTCACGCCCCGCCGGCAGGGCGAAGCGTTCAGGAGCTGATCCAGCCCTTGGAGGGCTTCGCCGCCGCTCGGTTTTAGGGTGTAGGGATTAAGGGTTTAGGGTTGAGCGTTGAGGAGGGGGGGGGGGGGTTGTAAGGTGTATAGGGTGAGAGGGTTGATAGGGTTTATAGTGTTTAGGGTACCCACCTGGTTTATGGCGTTTAGGGTACCCACCTTGGTGATCCTATGTTCTTGGCCTCCAGTCCTGGAGTTCGGGTCAATTTCGAGCATCACAGTGCTGAGGATCCCAAGACCTGAGGCCATGAAGTTTAGGGTTTAGGGTTTAGGGTTTAGGGTTTAGGGTTTAGGGTTTAGGGTTTAGGGTTTAGGGTTTAGGGTTTAGGGTTTAGGGTTTAGGGTGAACCCCAAACTCTGAAAACCAACAAACCGTAATGAGCCCCAAGCCCTAAACCCCAAACGCTGAAGCTCTAAACCCTAAACCCCAAAAAAGGTAGTCTAGGACGCAGGGTGGGTAGGCCCTTATGACCCTTTCTGTTCTTGTGTCTCGTAGTTGAGCAGTAGTTGAGGAGGTCAAGGTCTACCCCCCCACGCCCCCAAATAAGCCCTAGACCCCCTCGACCCTCGACCCTAGACCCTAAACCCTAAACCCTATACACCCTATACACCCTATACACCCTATACACCCTATACACCCTATACACCCTATACACCCTATACACCCTATACACCCTATACACCCTATACACCCTATACACCCTATACACCCTATACACCCTATACACCCTAAACCCTAAACCCTAAACCCTAAACCCTAAACCCTGCCCCCCCCCCCTCCTACTACCTACGCCCCCAAACCAAGTCTTTGGTGTCGCGCCTGGATCTGCCAACCTCCGGTCCCAGACTCAGATCTCAACGTAGGGTTTAGGGTTTAGGGTTTAGGGGTTTCAGGGTTTAGGGTTTAGGGTTTAAGGTTTGGGGTTTAGGGGTTTAGGGGCTTAGGGGTTTGGCGTGCTTTTGGGAAATATATAAGGAGCCGTGAAGGAGAACCCGTTTAGGTTTCAGACGGCTGCGTGCTTCTAGGGTGTGGGCATACAAAAAATTGGGACCCTGAGCAGGCCTTGACTCCCTTTTTAAGGGTTTAGAGTTTAGGGTTTAGGGTTTAGTCTCCTGCAAGCCCCTTTTTCAGCAACAAGGGCACCCTTGCTATTCCTAGGTGGCTCTTGAGTCTAGTGGTGTTCACGACTTCGAAGTTTCAGGTTCAAAAGGTCCAGGACTTCTTCCCCTCGTCAAGCATGGAGGCCGAAGCATCCCACAAGGCATGGTGTGCAAGCCCATGTTGAAGGCTACACCCTAAACCCTAAACCCTAAACCCTAAACCCTAAACCCTAAACCCTCTTGGCTTCAGCAGAGGTGTGCTGGTGGTGGCTGCTGGCGGCACAGACACCGATGCCTTTCAGGCACAGCCCCATTCTCGTGAACCTCCCGGCACCCCAGTTTTAGGGTTTAGGGTTTAGGGTTTAGGTTTAGGGCACCCGAGCCTCCCCAGACGCGCAACCCTCTTTAGGGTTTTGGGGTTTACGATTTAGGGTTTTGGGGTTTAGGATTTAGGGTTTACGGTTTAGGGTTTCGGGTTTTGGGGTTTAGGATTTAGGGTTTAGGGTTGAATTAGGGTTTAGGGTTTTGGGGTTTAGGGTTTAGGGTTGAGGGGCCCGATTATTCTAGCTTCCAAACCCTAACACGCCCAACCTCAGCTTGCAGGCGGCATCGCGGGAGTTCCTAGAATAAGGACTCTAAACCCTAAACCCTAAACCCTAAAGCCTAAACCCTAAACCCTTGGGGTTCTATTACGGCCACCCCTCTGTTAGGACTGCTGGGGGATGCCTAGATGATATGGTCACCTTGTCCCTAAACCCGAATATACCTTGAACCTTGCACCCCCTTGATTGCGGCCATCTTTGCCCTTTACTCAGGGTTTGGGTTTAGGGTTTAGGGCTTAGGGCCTAGGGCCTAGGGCTTAGGGCTTAGGGCTTAGGGTTTAGGGTTTAGGGTTTAGGGTATAAACCCAATGTGGCGCTGTCTGACAACCACCTGCACCCTGAAGTCCAATTAGCCTTCAACCCCCACGCGCAAGCATCAAAGCCCAGAAGCCTAAACCCTGTAGGGGTCTTCGGGGTTTAGGGGTTTGGGGTTTTGGGTGTCTTCACCGAAAGCATGAGGGCCCTCACACCTCAAAGCTAAGCATCACACCTTCCGCTAACAGTGGGCATCTCACTATCGTGTTGAGAGGTGTGCATCGAAGGCTTTGAGGAAGTTCCTAGCCCTGTATCAAACACGCTATGAACCCTAAACCCTAAACCCTAAACCCTAAACCCTAAACCCCGAAACCCTAACTAAAGCCTAAAGTCGAAGCAGCCCAAACCCCAATCCCTGGCGCACCTTGAGTGGTCTTGGGAAACCTACCAACAACAAGCTAGGCCATGGTGTTTTTTCCCCCTGGTTCTTAGTAGGGAATCAGGGAAGTAGGGCCCTCTTTATACCCTTTAAGGGATTATGTAGGGTACTCCTCACATATATATATATATATATATGTATATATGTATACTCTTTAAGGGATTATATAGGGTACTCATTCCCTCATTCCCTACTATGAACCAGCCAGCTTTTGTGTCCTAGCCACTCCACAGTCCCCTGGGGCTTCGGAAGCTTAGCGGTCCCAAGCTTTTCGCGAGCGCCCCAGGCCGCCTCCGCGCAGTTTGCCGGAAGGCCGCGCGGTACGTGGGTACGTGGGTTTGGGGGGTATTTTCCAACCCTAAACCCTAAACCCTAAGCCCTACATCCATTACGTACTTGGGCCCTCAAAGATCAAGGCCGATTCGGAGGCCCTTAACCTCAGAAGCTCCCTAAAGCCCCACGCACCTGGGCTCTTTGAATCCTAAACTTCCTCACCCTAAACCCTGAACTTCCTAAAACCCTAAACCCTAAACCCTAAACCCTAAACCCCTCGAATCCGAAGTTCGAAACAACGACAGCAGGCCCGGCACGCATGGCTGAAGACTCTGAGCATCAGAACCTTGACCGATCTATCGGTCTACATAAGTTAGGGTTTAGGGTCAGTTTAGGGTTTAGGGTTTAGGGTTGAGGGTTTAGGGTTTAGGGTTTAGGGTGCAGAGAAGAGCATGAGGACCCAGATCCGCCAGAGTTGAAGGGCTTTAGGGTTTCGGGGGGTTTAGGGCTGTCGGGTTTGGGGTTTTTCTAGGACCCAGAGTAGGCCCTTATTCCATTTTTTGGGGGGCTTCGGTTCCCTTTTCAGCCCCTCTCAACCAAAAAGGCTACCCTTTTTGTACCTAGGAAGACGTTTCGGGTTGAGGCAGTTTGGGGGTTGTGGTAGCTACAGATCTGGGGAGACGATCCCAAGCTCACTCTGGCTCTCTGCTGAGGCCCGAACCCCTGAACCCTATCACCCCTAAACCCTAAACCCTAAACCCCAAATCCGCACATCTGATCTTCTTAATCTCTACCGCGCCGAAGCCCCCAAAGTGGTTTAGGGTTTAGGGTTTAGGGTTCAGGGTTCAGGGTTTAGGGTTTAGGGTTTAGGGCATTCGCTATACCCTGGTCTTCCTAGTCTGTAGACGTAGTTCCTGACTCCTTGAGTTGATGTTATGTTCTCCGGCCAGGCTCGTGGACAAAGAGTACGTCTGCCTATGTGCCTCGCTCAGGGGTTTAGGGTTTAGGGTTTAGGGTTTAGGGTTTAGGGTTTAGGGTTTAGGGTTTAGGGTTTAGGGTCCAGGGATTTGGGTTTGGGGCATTGGGGTTTTCGGGCTTGAGGGGTTGAGGGGTTGAGGGTTGGGGGTCTAGGGTTTCCCCCCAGCACAATTACAGCTCCAAAGCTAGGACTGTTGGTTTGGTTTCTGAAGGGTTCCCTGGACCCTAAACACTAAACCCCAAACCCTAAACCCTAAACCCTAAACCCTAAACCCTAAACCCTAAACCCTAAACCCTAAACCCTAAACCCTAAACCTCTCTGATGAGGTCGTGGCCAAGCCCCGGACGTATTTGCCAACCGCACGCCGCTGCGAAAGCAGCGTGCCCACACCGATTTTGATCCTGGCCTTGAGGGAGGAGTGGGGCTTTTAGGGTTTAGGAATTATAGGCTTTGGGTATGAATGGGAGTTGGTGTTGTGTGTTTGTGTATGTATGTGCAGCTCTTTTGATAAAGTCGGATCACGGGATCATGGGATTCCTGGGTGTCTGTGCTGAGGACTCAATCTCTGAAGCCCTACCCTGGGTTGTGCCCAGCACAGCAGGACGAGGAGTTTCGTTTGGTAGTTCGGGATAAACCTCCCCAATCCCTAAACCCAAGCCCGAAGGCTCGGAGGTGGCGAACTTTACTCGGGCTTAGGCGCTCAGAGTTAACAATGCTGTTGAAATTCATGTGGTACTTAGACTCAGAAGCAGCTCCAGAGATCAACTCCTCCATTTTTCTCCCCCCCCCCCCCCCACGTACACCAGTAACAAGGACCCAGAGTATGCCCTCATTCCCTTCTTTTAGGCTTTGGGTCCCCTTATAAGCCCCTTTAAGCCAAAAAAACGAGCACCTTTTTTTATTCCTGGGTTACCCTTGGGTCTAGGTAGGTGCTGGCTCGCTAAGGAGCTGCTTGGCACCTTTCTGGCCCCTGCCAGCATCTTGGCGGCCCAGTGGTACCCTTTGCCTGTTTTTTTTTTGGGGTTCTCTAGGTAGGCCCTTGGGATATTTCATATTTCCCTAATTGGGTTTAAGAGGATCATATTTAGGAACATATTTTTCAGAGGGTTTCAAGGGCCATCCTGTTTCTGGGTTTCCTTGGTATAAAGCAACCAACCCCAACAGGGAGGGGGTGCCCTTACGAGGATTTGGTTACTGGGCTGCCAAGGTGTCAGCGCTCAGTCGGCTGGCGAAGTCTACTCGTTGGTCCAGGCCGTGCTTGCGGGTTCATTCGGTACTCATAACCGAACCCAACTTGCATGTGCCATGTTGTACTAAAACGGGTTTTCATCGTGATGTTGTTGCTGTTACATGTCAATCTTGACCTTGATCCTCTTGTAGATCTCAGTATGCGTATTCGACTGACTAGTTTCTTGCAACATTGACCCTAGCACGAGAATGATATAGGTTGACAATAAAGGCACTGCGCGGCCGCCCGTGGTTTCTGAAAATCTGACTCCAGCCATAGGAGGCTTGTTTACGCTTCAGGCTATGTTGGGGCTTAGGATGCAGGCTGTAGGATGCTGGGTTTGGGGTTTACGGTTTAGGGTTGAGTTCGCTGTTTAGGATGCAGGGGTTGAGAGTTGAGAGGTTTAGGTTAGCGTGTGAGTTTGGGGTTTAAGTCAGTTGGATCTCACAGAGTTTGTGTTTCGGTTTTTGCTTGGGAGGGGGTGGGGGAGATGGGGGGGGGTCATGGATTTCTTTGAACTACTCCATGCAAAATCAACCAAAAACTTATCTTCCCAGCTTGTCTGGAATCCCGGCGGAGGAGTTTCCGGTCTAAGGGGACGGGCGCGAGTGCAGCTGCTTCGGGTTTAAGGTGTTGCGGGTGCCTCGTCATCCTTCAAGCAGGCCCTCAATTAAACCTGACGACCCCCCGCCCACCCCAAACTCCGATTCCTAAACCTAGCGGCTGCAGCCCCCCCCCCCCCCCCCCCCAAGAAAAAAAAACTAGATAAACAAAACAAAAATTAGTAACAACAAGTAAATACAACAGCACGCCCACACAAACAAACAGGACCATAGAAGCTCTAACCCCAAAGCCCAAGACCAAAGACCAAGGCTGTCAAAAGCCACCGGTTTCAAGGCTGCGGTCCTTAAAGCCACAGAGCGCCCTCTGCAGGCAAAGCCAAAGACTGGGAGGAAGCATCAAATTCGAGTCAAAGCTGCAAAGAGCGAATCTCCACAGGAGTTCGGGGGCTTACAGTAGGATTTAGGGGTTTATCGGCTTTTGGGGTCGCGCAACCAAACCCCACTGGAGGTGCAGGCCCGTTTTGGTAACAAACTGGGACATGCCAGCACTCCAAGTTCTGTTGAGCAATGGAGAGAACACTTCTGCCACCCGTCAAAGAAGTCAGTTTAGCAATAGTTCGTTCATATGTTCAAATTTACAATGCAGTTCCTGCTTTGACAAGTACGAAATAAATTGACATGATGTTGGCGGTTAGTGGTGGTTGCATGCTTCCGAATTCTAATTATTTAGCATGGCTTGAGAAATATCGTATTGGGTAGGATTCACTTGCTTTTTTTTGTAAAATTGCATGAATAGAGAGAGGCTTATATGCCTGTATGTATATACATATATATATATACAGATACAATGTATATGTGTGTCTGTGTCTGTAAATCTATACGTGTGTCTACTTAAATATATGTATTTACTTTGCCCAGAGCATCCACTTCCCAAGCCCTCTCTACCCGCCGCACGGGGCATCTGGCTCAGACACATAGGCGCACACGCACGCACACACACACACACAAACACACACACACACACACACACACACACACCAACAAAAGGGCCATGGGGGGGGGGGGGGGGGGGGGGGGGGGGTGCACATATATACCTCGATATATATATATATACATATATATATATACATATATATATATGCATATAAATTTACCAACATACATATATATATATACCATTGTTGATCATGTGTACAAACATAACACACATATACATGTTCTGAAGATGTGCACCATGCATGAAGAGTTGCTTGTTCAATCACCTAAACGGAGCCTATGCATAGATCAGCTTATTGGTATGTAGGTAAAGCTGATTTTGACCAGAGAGTCTTGCCAACATTGATCAGCATGTTTGGTGTATGTGCACGAAAGTGCTTTTGAAAGCCGGAGCTCTGAAACCTGGGGTGCAAAGGACGCTAAACCTGAATTTCCGGGAAGAGTCGCCTTTCCCAAGGCCTAAACCCTGACCCTTAAAGACTAACCCCTAAACCCGACGATGAGAGGAAGAAATCTTCTACCCACGCCCAAGCCCGAAGCCCCGAACTCCCAACCGCTGCAGCGACAAAGAAGAAAGGAACCCTAAACCCTAAACGCTGGACCCAAACCCTAAACCCTAAGGCCTGAACCCTAAACCCTAACCCTAAACCTTAAACTTCAAGGAAGGCACCTTGCGGAATTGGGCCTGCTGACGCCCAAGAGATCCACGAGGGTCCATACTCAGGGACAACTCAATGCCCGTCTCTGGGGTTAGGGTTTAGTGTTTAGGGTATAGGGTTTAGGGTTGAGGGGACCAACAAATTCTAATGTTGACTTCACATTAGGACTTCCCGCCGCAATTATAAAATCCAGCTGCCAGAACACAATAATGTAGCCCGCCACAATTATAAAATCCAGCCCGGAATATTCTTCTAAAAGTGATCCCCCAGAAGCTCGCAGTAGAGGCTCACTTAGCCCACTGTGGTGGCACCGGGACAGCTAGACCTACCAGGATTTAGGCGGATATTATTGAGGAGGCCCTGGCCGGAGAGATTGATCAATGAAGGGGGGGGGGGTTTATTAATGCGAAGTCAACATTAACATGGAAAGGAACCCGTATCCAGGACTTGTTTGGCTGGGATCTGCACTTTAAGTTCGAGTCGGCAGAATTGCTCAGTTTCCGGATTTCTACTAACGTTGCCCAGGTTTAGGATTCCTACTAGTTGCCTGAGAACCCCAAAAGAACAATTAATCATGTTCTTCCTGCTAGGGGCAATATATGGATTATTATTTGATATTTGTTGGGGGTTCTTCAGCAAATGGTGGGTTCTGGGTTCAGAGTTTAGAGTAGGCCCGAGGGTTGTCGAGATGCTTTGGGTGTAGGAGTGGTGCTTAGGAGTTCCTGGCGAAGGTTGCGATTCAGGATGCTTGGGACAACGCGGGACTTAGCAGATAGATGAGCGTAAGATGCGTTGGATTGTGGCCTGAGGGTTGTGAGTTTTTGGGGTTTAGGGCTTAGATGGTTTCGGGTTTCGGGCTTAGGGTTGGCATGTGCTGTCTGTGTTCTTGCTACGTGGGGCAGTGGAATGCTTTCGTTTTGGTAACCCTTAAGCCCTCACCCTGAACCTATTGATTTGTTTTTAGGCGGAGGGTGGGGGGGGGGGTGCTTAACAAAAGAGTTGTGCTTTGGGATGTTTCCCCTTCTACCATCAGCCCCTAGTAGGGATTCCAGTACCCCCTGTTGTAATCCCTATGAAAGACTTTTAGTATAAGGGTGAACATCCCAAGTTGTGCTCCTCATTGTCATGGTCTGAGGCCTATCGTTGGGGATGCTCGGTATGGCAGCGCCACGCGCTCAGAGCAGGTCAAGGGAGCAAAGGAGGGACCCTGATAAGGGACCTTAGAGGCTTTTTGGGGGGTGATTTAGGGGCTACTTAGGTATAGGGGAAGAAGATGAAGGGTCCCTTCTAGGGGGTCCCTCCTTATACCCCTTAAGCAAGAGCCGCGACTTTGCTTTGCTTTCATCCAGCCGGTGCTTCACATGCTGCACTCTCCTGCGCCTCAGGGGCTTGTTCGCACCCGTTGCTGGGTCTTGGGTAGGAGAGGGCGGATTGGGTGTAAGGTTTCGGGTTTCGGGTTTCAGGGTCCGCCGGGGCTTTACTTGGGTTTTTGAATATTTAGCCTCTGACAGCTTTCGCCTTTGGCTTGCAGAGCCATTTGGGCGTGTTTCTGTATCTGTTTCTGAGCACTTTGTCACCTGGTTTTTCTTGTCTTTGGCAGCCTCGGCTCGGCAGCTAACACCTGCTCCATCTCCATCACACCATGCTCGCTTGCCAAATCCTGCTTGTAGCGTTCATACCATCCTTGGCCCTTCGTCGTGACATCGACAAGGAGGGGGACCAGGAGCTTCATGCTCATGGCGCGCATCGCGCGTGCTCTCCGGCCGAAACCATTGCCTATAACCACGTGGCGATTCCAAGGCCACAGGAGTTGGCCGATTGGAAGGAGGCTCTGTCCACAGCAGGGCCGCTAGCAAGTCCCATCGGAGAGGGGGACGGCCTCATCATTGATCTCGCGATGAGGATGGCCATGCTGCCCTATGGGCGCATGGTTGAAGGTGTGTCCTTTACCTCGTTCTCGACCTACGCTTCGCGGCCTAGCTTGATCTATGGCACGCTGCATTTCGTCGGTTCGTTATGGGAGTAGTCCCGCTTGCCACAGCACAGCATAAAGCCTAAACCCTAAACCCTAAACCCTAAACCCAAGGCTTGTTGTGAGGGTGAGACAGCAGAGGAAAGGCGATGATACCCCCAGCATGGGAGAGCTACTGGTTCGAGGGAAAGCGGAGCACAAGAAGACAAGAGGCGCAAAAGCTACGTGGAATAAGGACGACAGCCCCTATGCCGCAGTCTACATCATCAGGCTCTCGGATGGCGGGGTGGGCTTGGTTTTCAGCTTCAAAGGATCGACAAATCTCAAGGACTGGGCCAGGAATTTAGACTTCCTGGGTACACACTTTGAGGGATCGAATAATTCCCACGTGAAGGTGCATCGTGGTTTCCAGGCGCATGCGAACAGCATCTGGACCTCGTTGAAGGATGCTGTCACGGACCTCGCCGTTCACCGGCTGCTTATTGACACCTGGAACATCCAGGATGCTTACGCCAACGAGTTCACGGACTACGTCACGCACGGCACATGGAGCTGGTGCATCTGCGTTGGGCACAGCCTTGGCGGGGCAATGGCAGACATTTTCGCGGAAAATATCGTCACACGTTACAAGGGTCGCAACAGGGGTCCAGTCTATGCCGTGACGATCGATGCTCCCATCCCTGGAAACAAGGCCTTCAATCTTGACATGGCTCAGAACATTCTTCCACACGGCGGGCTTCGTATCGAGAATCCTGGCGATCCTGTGCCCTGGACAGGGTATGGTGGCATCACGCTCAGGAAACGCCAAGTTCACGGAATGCAGTGGAGGCTGCCAAAGCCATCAGCAAAATTCAGTCTTTATGATACCCACACACTATTCCCCATAGAGGCGCAGTCGGAGAGTGGCAACAAGACGTGCCGGCTGTATACCTTCCAGGACTATGATCCTGACACCGACCCGCAAGACACCTGGTTACAAAACTACCACAAGATGGCGTGGGTCTACGGAGCTGAGACAGCATCGTTCGTTCGGGCGGATTGAGCCCGACCTCACTCGGAACCTTGCCGAGACGAGGAGACCAAGTGAACACGCTCCGGCTCGGGCAGTTAACAGAGAGCGCGCCAGTGCTGACCTGTCACAAGCGCAATCTAAATCGCAGAGTTTATTTCCCTGACCCCTAAACCCCGAAACCCCTAAACTTTCCCTAAACCCCTAAACACCTAAACCCTGAACCCTAAACCCTTCGATCTCGAATGCCCAGGGACATCTGGCCTGGTGCGCGCGGCTGTTCCTCCATTGCCGGCAGGTTTCCATGAGGGACCAGAGGGGAGGTCCGAGCCCCGAAGACTTGGGGTTTAGGGAGGGCCTAGAGTTTAGGGTTTAGGGTTTGGGGTTTAGGGTTTTGGCGTTTAGGGTTTGGGGTTTAGGGTTTGGGGTTTAGGGGTTAAGTTTCTGGGTTTTCGGGATGTGAGGGGCGGCCCTGGGGCGACTGGGCAGTGGGAACCCGAATTCATCAAAGTTGAACGCGAACCGGAAGGTAGTAAGCATCGCAAAATCAGGCACTGGAAGATTCGGGAAGTTCTCTAAAGTAGGGCCCCATTTGGGTTTCCTATAGAAGAAGGCACCCTTATCATGAGGTCCCTACAAGGGACCCTAATTTACAGAACTGCCCAGATGCAAGCTGAGACCAAGTAGCCCCTAAACTCCTAACACCCAAACCCTAAACCCTGAAGATGGAGATCCCCGCATTCCGAAACCCTAAGCCCCAAGCCCTAAACCCTGAACCAGACCCTGAACCCCAAACCCTAAACCCTAAACCCTACGATCCGAACTGTGATTCGCCCTAGGCTTGTGGGTACTCTAGACTGTGGTGCCCTATCTCGGATGTAGGGTTGAGGGTTCAGGGTTCAGGGTTTAGGGTCAGGCCTCGTATGGTAAAGAGGAGGGTATTGCAGCAGAAGACCCGAATTTCACGAAGGAAGATTCCAGGGATATCGGAGTCTTTGCGCAGTTCCGTGTCTTCAGGGACCCCAGTTGTGGGTTTATAGGGTTCCGGGTCGAATCACAGGACTCTTACTCGACTTCTAAAAGGTTCACCGGAGTTTTAGCAGACTGCTTAAAATTGTAGGTCAGACTCTTGCTGCAAGTCGGCCAGACGGACTTGTACAGTACGGGTTGACCCAAGTATATACTCCCTGATACTTGCTTGTCTGAAGTCCGAACTCCGAAAAAAGTTGGTATTTCCCGAGATGGGGTTACCCCTTTTATACCCCAAATAGAAAAGATTCTTCTTACAGGGACCTTGAAAAAGGGTACCCCTATTTTCGGAAACCCCCAACTAGGTACCCGAGGGAGCATGACACCCCAACATGTCGGGCTCAGGGTTTCAGCAGTCATGCCGTGTTGAGCCTAAACCTTCAACCCCAAACCCCTTCAGACCAGTCAGCCCTAAGCCCTAAGCCTGTGTGCTGTGGCAGCTACATGTCTGATGCATGGGAAGGATGAGCGGTATAGTGGAGGAGTTGACTCGGTGACGATGAGGAGCGTCCTGCGCTTCGCCGGACGTGAAACAAGCCTTCCTCACGGCGCCCTTGCTGTCGCGAGGGATCCCTATCATCCTGAGGGCCCTCTTCAGGAGATTCAATATCTGCAAAGAACGGCTCTGGATCGTACATCACGCGCTTTACGGCCTGACCACGTCGCCGAGGTCGTGGTCGGTCCATCGAGACGGCACCCTCAAAGCGACTAAGGTCCAAGTGGAAGGCTGTGAGGCCCACTTCGAGCAGTTCCACAGCGACGAGAATGTCCCTAAGCCCTAAGCCCTAAGCTCTAAGCCCTAAGCCCTAAGCCCTAAGCCCTAAGCCCTAAGCCCTAAGCCCTAAGCCCTAAGCCCTAAGCCTAAGCCCTAATCCCTAAAACCCTAAACCCTAGCCCTAAACCCTAAACCTTAAAACCCTAAACCCTAAACCCTCAACCCCAGAAAGCCCTTCTAGGTCTCTTCCTGGCGACGTCGCCGCTGCCTGCGGAGCTGACGCGGGCTTTGGGGTGGCTTGAGCCCGTTGACGCCTGAACCTTTGGGGTTTATAGGGTTTATAGGCTTTATAGGGCTTATAGGGTTTATGGGGTTTATAGGGTTTACAAGATTTATAGGGTTTATAGGTTTCTTTTTAGGGTTTATAGTGTTTATAGGGTTGTGGCGTTTAAAGGGTTTATGGTGTAAATAGGATTTAGGGTTTAGGGTTGGGAGGTTGGAGTCCAGGATTCATGTCTGTAGGGCTTGAAAGTTCATGTGGGTAGAATAGGGTTTAGGCTTTAGGCTTTAGGCTTTAGGCTTTAGGGTTTAGGGTTTAGGGTTTAGGGTTTAGGGTTTAGGGTTATAGATCGTTTCTTGTGTTTTTTCCTGGGCGTCCTCTGGCCTCCAACAATCGTAGCTCCGCACAGAGGACAGTCGAGGCTAAACCCTAAACCCTAAACCCTAAAGTGTATGTTTAACACCCTTCTTCTTGTCTTAGGATTTCTGGTTCAGCATACCTTCAATCCCTTGCTTCCCTCATGACAAGGGCCCTGAACCTGAAAGTGCACGAGTCGGAGGATCGGGGTGCACCGAGAACGCACAAACCTAAGCCACGAAAGCCTACTAGCCCCCGCAGCCTGCCCTGTTAAGCAGGTACATACACTTAGAGGGCGTACAGTTGGGGCCTCCCCCCCCCGCTTCCTTGACGGCAAAATGATTGCAGGTCTTCTTCCCAGATATGGGGATGCCGAGATTTAGGTACCTCTAAGGGGTTTACATGGGCACCTAATTCCCTGGTTCAATTCTCCACTAAAGAACGAGAGAGCCCCCTGAGCTGAGCCTTATAAGCCCTAAGTGGGAAGTCGGGAATCAGGCCT